TTTAAACAAAAAAATTTCTTTCAATATATTTTGATTATGATTTTCCCCTCTCCCAGTTTTTACCAGATTCCTACCTCATTTAATGCCTTACTTTTCTTTATTTGTTTGTTTTCACTTTCTTGTCAATTTGAAATATGCTATTATCTGTCTAACTAAATTATTCTATCAACCATGCCTTATAAAAATGGTTAATAAGAGTTAATTCTGTTCTAGAATCTCAATATTAGGGTAAGAAAATTACTATAAGACATAATCCATCCCTTAAAGTTTTCTTATTATGTAGCTCTATGGACTTTGCAAAATAATGAGAAAATAAGACAAGGAATAAAGACAAAGTTGTGCAAGAAGCAGTAAGGGGAAAGGAGAGAAGAAGCCCTGGGTGCCGCTGGAAAGACTCCTGCGATGAGCTCATCCCCATCTACTTCAAATAACTTACTCTTGAGTAAAAGATGTATGCAACAGACTATTCATGGATGAAAATGACTGAAACACATTACATTCGTGAATGAAAACTTTAAAGAATAAGAAATAAATACCCAAATATAATAATATTTATTAGTAAAATAATAGTAAAAAGCAAAAATAAAAAATGATACCCTGATTTATTTAGTAATAAATGAAAAAACATCCTATCTGAAAAAAAAAAAAAACTGCAAATAACAACATATAAGAAAGAAAAACTCATTTCCAAATGACAAAGCACAAATTCAGAAGGAGGACACAGTAAGAATAGCAAGAGAGTGGCATCTTGGAGACATGAACAGAGCTGGACTTCCAGATTCATATAAAGCAGAAGCCTGAGCCCTCAGGTCTGAGAGACTATGAGCTAGGCATGAGCTCATGCAAAGCCACACTACTCCTGGGAGGAATTCGAGTTCACCACTGGGAAATAGCCAGTGGATCCATCCAGGATGGAAAGCATAGGAAAAGACCCACCTGAAGACTTAAAATTTGCATATGAAAAGGTGGCACCAGACTCAGCCTTTCTAAAAGAAATCCTGTGAAGTAACAGTGCATAGGAATTCAGGTTTTCTGTCCTTCATGCTATATTCCACGTACTGCTAAAGGGGACAAAATATATTTCATGTTCACTGGTAAGTTTGTTCTTTATACAAACATGTGTCTGTGTATGTGTGGTGTGTAGTGTGGTGTGTGTACGTGTGTATATAATATGTGTATATACTGTATATACATAATTATATATTATATAATATATTAATATAACATATACTCATATTACTTCCAAGGTTTGTAATAGTGGAATTCAAGCTGCTGATTACAGTATCTGGACAACTGTACCAAACTCATAGTCACACTCCTTCTTAATTTTAGCTCCTTTCAAGGAGTTTAGTTCCTTTCTACCAATCTGGCCTTACAGTTAAGTGGCTCTTATTCCTGAGGGGTGGGTTGACATTCGGTTCCTTTCATTGCCAGTCTAAGAAGAAAATGAAGCACATCTAGTTTTAAACAGCTTCAGGAAAAGATCAGTTTTTAATAAGACAAAAGCTGGTGAAATAAAATAGATTATTTTAGAGTTCAAAATCTAATTGTTATTATGAAAAGAAACTTTAAAAGATCATTTTCTTGATTCACTACCATCGCTGACTTCACAAAACCTAACTCAGAAGCAGTTAGACATGTATAACCATAGAAAGTTTACTTCATCACAAAAACAAGACACTTGTGTTTATTCACCTAATAAGAGTTTCAGGAATGGACAGAACTAAAAGACAAAAAGAAAATTTCTGTCATGTTAAGAAAACACAGGTTGCTGTTTCATAATGTGATAGGACGAACAGGTAAAAAAAAAAATCATGTTTTTATAACCTGCAGGTCAAGAAAGATGGCACAAGTAAAAAGAAAAAGAACATTTGGATTAAATGATAATTAAAATATAAAACACCGAAATTTGAAGATGTATTTAGTGACTTACTTAGAAGGAAGGGTATGTGTTCAAATAAAAAGAGAAATTATTAAAGACAGGGACATGTTTCATCTGAAGAAACAAAAGAAAGAAAAATCTAGAAAACAAACTATGGCAAGAAAGAGTAATGATAAGAAAAGAAATGAATCAAGAAAGCAAAATAACAACAGAGAACATTAAAGAAGACACACAGATCTCCTGTGGGTGTGAGAAATGACACATAAAACTAGCAAATGGGCTTAAAAGAAAATAAAAAATACAGATTATTAATACCAGGACTGAAACATGGTTGATTCTAACAGATCCAAGGATAACTAGGAAGCATTTTATAAACATTTGGCTAGTGTTGATAAGTTACAAAAATAAGTAAGTTCTATGAAAAACAAAATTTGACAGACTTTACAGAAAAAAGTTAATACTAACATGTTAATTATATTCCATTAATGATGTAAAAATCAAACCATTGCCAACACCACAACAATAAACTAAGCCAAAGTCGGAGAGTTTCATTCATGAGTTTTACAAAGATGCAAGGAAGGAGTCCTCCAGTTTCACAGGCCACACCGCTCTAACTCTGTGGGTTATAAACTGAATAGCGATGGGAAGCTAGGAGGGTAATGAGTTTGGAGGGGCAGATGGAGGAGGAGAATGGAGGGTAGATATATATAAAATTTCCAAAAAGTAAATAAAAGTATTTAAAAAATTAAGTGGGAAGAAATATTTCTCATTTTATATGAAGACAGTATTTCTTGAAATCTAATAATGTTTCTCATATGCAAAACGTAATAATGAATTCATTTTGTATTATATACTATTATATATAGTATAATACTATATATACTGTATACATACATATATGTTACATGCAAGCTTTTTATGTCAACAAAGCCTCAAAAAGTGGTTAAATGAAAGACCCCTGCTCAGTTGTAACCAATGGTCTTCCTATGTGTACCCTAGTGAGGGGAGCAGGGGCTGTTTCTGACTCTGTTGCCTGCTCTCTGATCACTTTCCCCTGGTGATGCAGCCTTGCCAGGCCACAGAGGAAGAGGATGCAGGTAGTCCTGATGAGACTTGATAGGTTGGGGTCAGTTGGTAAGGGAGGAGGGCTCCCCCTTTCTGAGTACTAGGGGAAGAGATAGAAGGGAAAAGGAAGGGCTGGTGGGACTGGAAGGAGATGAGGGAGGGGGCTACATTTGGGTTGAAAAGAGAATACATTTTAAAAGGATTAAATTTAAAAAGAGGATCTGAATTGTAACAGTGGAGAATATAATATATTCAGAAAACCAAACTTCAATATAAAAGTTACCCTTTGTGGCTATTTTTTATAATTTTTATTTTTTTATATTAATTACAGTTCATTTACTTTGTATCCCAGCTGTAGCTCCCTCCTTTATTCCCTCCCAATCCCACAGTCCCTCCCTCATCTCCTCCTGTTCCTTTCTAAGTTCCCTGATAAAAATAGAGAGAAAATATGGACTTAATTTTTAGTAATTTTAAAAAATAAAATTTAAAGTAATAAGTTTAATAATGGCTTTTGTGTACTTTTTACACGCTGCCTCAAAAACAAAGTGGAGTGAAATTCTTGTGAAGTTATATTAAGTGATAGAAATTAACTCCTTTTGTCACTGCTCATAATCAAAGAAGGTGTGTCCATACACACTCCTACGAACCCAACGCAAACTTGGACATACACATGATATGCACATAACGACTAAATAAAGGTAAAACAGGGCCAGCAAGTGGCTCAAAGCGTGAAAACACCTGCTCCCAAACCTGAAGAGCTGATGTCCATCCCCAGAATCTGCATGATGGAAGGGGAGGCCTGACTAGCCCTGACTCCCCAGGCTGTCCTCTAACACACACAGGCATGCCATGGTACCCACAAGGATGGATGCAAAATAATAAAGATAGAAACGTATTTACTGAGGTTTTTGATGTTGAACACATAACTAATAAAAATACACTAATTTTGCAAATTACTTTGTCCACTTTAATATTTGAAAATCTTGCGTATGTTTCAGAAGTCATAGAGGAATGAGTTGAGCAACTTTCATAAGCTCATGCAAGGTAGTGAAATCAAACCAATTGTATCATTATTTATATAACATAATGTATATATCTGTGTAAATAGTCACATGGATTCATTTAGCTGTGCATCTTCTTTACATGTATACAAATGCATACCTCTTATGAAAATTCTCTTTCAAATACAAAAAGTCATGGGTTATAAAAGCTGCAATATTTTTAAAACCATAACTATTTGCTACTAGATTTTAACACAAACATAAGTGAGCCTCCTTTAAAAGTCAATAAATGCTATAAATTTACATTCTATGATGCCAATTGATATTTTTCTTAAATGTAATTTGTGATGTAGTGTAATTACATCAATGTAATAAAATAAAATAAAATGTAATTTTATTTGTAAGCAGATCAATCCTTGCTCGAAGACATAAATAGAAGGTGTAAAATCAATTTCTGTGTTTGTCTTTTGCCCTACATTGTGTAGTTATAATTATTGAACATCTGTGGACTGAACTTGTAATTCCAACCTCTGAAACCCAGTCAGCACCTAATGGATACCACTGGTCATCTGTGTCCAGGCCCCACTGTCAGTTCTGCTGTTTCCTCCTAGCACTCTGTACCTGTTCTGCGCTTCATAATGGCTGTTCCCAGCACCACCCAGTCATCCTTTAGGATCTGGAAATGTGGCTGAAATCAGCCAGGAAACTGTTTCGAGGAAAGGATTAATTATAAGAATGAGGCTCTATTTTCCCTAAAAATATATTACCATGGGTATCTTCCAAATTTTTGTTAGCACATTCTTTATGTGGCCATTCTCAGGAAAGTTTGTCTTTGTTTAATATTCATTCCTACCAGTTTATACTTTTTTGATCTGGCTTGTGGTAAACATTTAGCTCAAAGTTGAACAAAACAATGTTAAAGTGGCAAAGAATAAAGAACACGAAATACAAAAAGTACTGATTTTTAAAGCATTTGACAATTTCACACACACACACAATGCGGAAGTGTCCTTGTCAGTCACCTAGACGTAACGTACAGCTGAGAAACTTACCCTGGCTTCGTGTCATTCACTACGCAGTGGTAGGTAAAGGTGCCAAACATCTGAACCCCTAAAATCCCATACAGAAGAAGGAAGAAGAGAAGGAAAATTGAAACACTCCATATTTGTTCTCCTGACCGCCTAGGGAAAAGAGAAAAATTAGATAAAATATTTTAAATGTCCCTCCTCAAATGTCATAAATTCTTCCCTAATGCATGCACCAAGCTGTGCTTACTTTAAAATATTTGTAATTCTGGTCCTTGGCAGTTCAAATCGGAAATAAATCCTGAAAGCCCGGATCATAATGAGTGGCCGTGGAATCCGCAGCATGCCCCAAGGTGACATCTGATCAACTATGTCAGCTATTTCAAACACCTGCAGATGAAGAGACGCACAGGCTCAGACTTCCCTTGTCACTGTGATTGCCAAAAATGTGTGGGTAACACAAGAATGCGCACCCTGTGCCTTGAATTCAGCCTACACTGTATTCCATCAACAAGCACGCCTCTCACTTGGCTTCCTTAAAAGAAAAAATGAGTCAGGTGTGCTGCCGAATGTCTTTAATCCCAGTAACTAGAAAGCATTTATATCTGTGGTGTATTTAGTGTTGACTAATATCCATATCAATATTAATAGCTTAATCTCTTCTTAGTGAGGATTTAGTCATATGGGAGACCAAAATGAAGAATTGTTAAATTCAATTTTTTATTTGAAAATTAGATATCTCACTCCAAATCTTTTATTTTATTTCAGTGACAGTATTTCACTGTTTTAGGAGGTTTGTTTTAGGAGGAATAACTACCTTTAATATTTATTTTAATTTCTGAGAACTCACAAGTATAATCAACAATAATTCATTCAGAAAGGTGAACGGATAGACATCAGAAGAATGTGAAAACAAGGAACAAGACAGGAACCTACCACAGACTCTGCCCAGCAGGGTATTAAAGCAGATGCTGAGACTCATAGCCAAACTTTGGGCAGTGTGCAAGGAATATTATGAAAGAAGGGGAAGATAGAAAGATCTGGAAAGGTCTGGAGCTCCACAAAGAGAACAACAGAACCGAAAAATCTGTGCCTAGGGGTCTTTTCTGAGACTGATACTTCAACCAAGGACTATGCATGGAAATAACCTAGACCCCTGCTCAGATGTAGCCCATGGCAGCTCAGTGTCCAAGTGGGTTCCCTAGTAAGGGGAACAGGGACTGTCTCTGACATGAACTCAGTGGCTGGCTCTTTCATCATCTACCCCTGAGCCGGGAGCAGCTTTAGCAGGCCACAAAGGAAGATAGTGCATCCAGTCCTTATGAGACCTGATAGGCTAGGGTCAGATGGATGGGAAGGAGGACCTCCCTTATCAGTGGACTGGGAAAGGGGCTGAAGGAGAGAGGGAGAATAGGATTGGAAGGAGATAAGGGTGGGGCTACAGCTGGGATACAAAATGAATAAATTTTAATAAATAAAAAATTAAATTAAAAATAAAAATAAATAAATGTTGCATTTAGATTGTTTAATTAATGAACATGTAAAATAAACAATGTAGGAAAGTACACAACCATGTTTGAATTGTATTCTTTAATATTTCTAGTTAAACTGTAAATGCAAGATAATGTACACTTTTTAAAACATTTCTTTGTGATTTAAATATATTTGATTACCTGTAATACAAGAGAAACCCAAAGGCAAAAGACCATGAATCCATCAAAAACACACCAGCGATCCTTCACATAGGAGCTATCACCCTGAAAGTAAATTCCACATAGATTGTCAGGAAAAATGAATTAATACATATGTATGTATGTATTTATATGTATATATATTTAATCCTGTAAGGGAAATAGTCAAAGGTTAATTCAGTACAAACCATCTACAATTTTTTTTTTATCCCAATGGAACAGACCTTCCAAAAGAAATTTTTTTTAGCATTTTAAAATGGTATTTTAAAAGGCAAATTATTGATGAAACATGAGAATTTGAAAAACTCTGAGTTCAGGATCTTAAAAAGAAAGCATCTAGTTGTTCTTTCACAAACTGAACACGTAATAAAAGAGGCCAATAATCACTTCAGGTCCTAGGGCAGCTCGTCCCCCAAGGCCCAGAACACACTTTGGCAACAGGAAGCCTTTCAAACTGCTTGACCCAGCCCTGCTAGCACTGTTACCAGGCAGTAACAGAGAGTGAGAAAATTTCCTTAATTTGCAAAGAAAAGATATGTTGACTTTAACTAGGAGGATAATGTCAAGGAAAATGAAGATATACTGCTTTCATTATTAATAGAGCATCTATCCTGGGGTTAGAATGTATATTTCAATAAAATGGTATTTGAAAAGAGAATCTCCCTCTGGAATAACAAAGCATCAATAAAAAGGGAGAGCAGAGAGGACGTGAGCTCTGGACAGAAATTGTCATGCTTGTGAAGGAGAATATGGGTTATTCCAGACTTGTCTGTCAGTTTCTATAAAGGTAAACAGTTGAGGCTGGTAATCAATTGTCCAGTGTAAGGGACTATCTGAAAGTGTCTTGCAAATATTTAACAAGGAGAGATACCAAATGCATTTAGAGAAATATATTTTGCAGTCATAAATGACAGGCACTGGTGGTTTCATGAGCATGTGATTTATTGTCCTATTTTCCCAGAGCCCATCTGTTATGTCTTAGCATTATTATTTATTACTCCAACATAGAAGCATGCTACTTTTATCTAGATATATTGCTAGAGAAGAATCAGACAACTAAGACTCATTTGAAGAATTCAGGCTACAATACATAGAATGATCTTCAGCGCTTCAAATACACATCATTTATTTTTCCCTCATAAAATATTTTTAGTTTATAAACTGTATACTACTGCGTTTTAACCAGTAATCTGGTTTAAAGTTGTGCAAATAAACAAAAAATATGAAAATACTGTGATTAGTCTTTTTGAAGAATAAATCTAACAATAGCACTTTGCCATGAATCATGAAAAGGCATGCCATCCTTTCAATTGGCTGCCCTTTCCTTTAGGAATTTTGCCAGCAGGAATACTTCCTGAAAGAGGGATTGAGGGAGGCAGTTAAAGAACTTTTCCCATCCTGTTTCCTCTCTTGCTTGTGGTGTCTATCCTGTTTGCCATTCTGAATGCGATTTAAGCATCCTCCCTGGGGTCCTCCATAGTGTTTAGCTTCTTTAGGTTTGTAGATTTTAGTATGGTTATCCTATATTATATGGCTAATCTCCACTTATAAGTGAATATATACAACAATTGTCTTTCTGTTTCTTGCTTACCTCAATCAGGATGATCTTTTCCAGTTCCATCCATTTATCTGCAAATTTCATGATTTTCTTGTTTTTAATAGCCATGTAGTGTTGCATTGTGTAAATGATTAGGAGACTACTATAAAGGGTCTTCTGAAAAGCTCCACCCAACAGGGCATTGAAGCAGACGCTGAGACTCACAGCCAAACTTTGGGCAGAGCACAGGGAATCTTACAGAAGAAGAGGGTAGGGGGTAGAAGGACATGGAGGAGACAGGAGCCCCACAAGCAGACTAACAAAGCTAAAAATCCTAAGCCTGGGGGACCCTGCAGAGACTACTATAAAGGGTCTTCTGAAAGGCTCCACCCAACAGGGCATTGAAGCAGATGCTGGGACTCACAGCCAAACTTTGGGCAGAGCACAGGGAATCTTACAGAAGAAGAGGGTAGGGGGGTAGAAGGACATGGAGGAGACAGGAGCCCCACAAGCAGACTAACAAAGCTAAAAATCCTAAGCCTGGGGGACCCTGCAGAGACAGATGCACCAACCAAGGACCACACATGGAGAGGACCTAGACCCTCTGCTCAGATGTAGCTGATTGGCAGCTCAGTCTTCGTGTGGGTCTCCAAGTAAGGGGAACAGGGGCTGCCTCTGTCATGAACTCGGTTGCCTGCTTTTTGATCACTTGCCCCTGGTTCTGTGGTCTTGCCAGGCCACAGAGGAAGAGGATCCAGGCAGTCCTGATGAGGCTTGATAAACTAGGGTCAAATGGCAGAGGAGGAGAATTCCCCCTTTCAGTGGACCAGGGAAGGGAATGGGGGGAAGAGGGAGGGAGAATGGGACCAGGAGGAGATGAGGGAGGTGCCTACCATCGGAATATAAAGTGAATGCAATGTAAAAACTAAACTAAACTAGAATAAAATAAAAAAGTTTCACAAATTTTACTTGAAGACAGTAAAGCAAATCACTTGTAAAATACGGGTTTTTTCAAAACACCTTTGTGGACAGATATACTTTCATTTTGATGTTTTTATTTCTAAAAATGTCTATATTTGTCATGCAACTATAAAAACACAACAAACTCACAAGTATAAATCTATAAAATAATAAAATTTAAATTAATAACAAATTTATGGTGACAGATAACATTTTGCTAACATTGGACGCCATTAAAACTTTCATTTTATATATAAGAATAGAATGTCAAAGCTAACTTGCTCTGATTTGTCTTTTATGGGATGCATGTTGAAGAACTGTGTGGTAACAAGTGATAATGGTTTGTTTTAGATTTAATGTCATAAATTCAACAGTTGGCACCACTCACTTAACTACTGCAATCTAATGATCAAGGATCAAGACAATAAAAATAAATGAAAACTATTTAAGTTTGGTTCAAGATCACCAGATCTTGCATTTAACAGAAACACCAGCTAGCATTTAAACATAAGTTTTAATGAGCTATGATGTTCTGATTACTTCAAGATAATATTAGCAATGCAGAATAATTAAAGTTGACACCACATGTTCATCTACTCTAATTATTCCCAATTAAAAACAGAAATATACTTATCTGGTTTTCATTCTTAATTTGCCATTTCTTATAGTTTGAAATCAGAAAAAATATTTTTGAGTTTAGTGAACGTGAGTCATTCAAATGCTAGAAGTTAAAATACTAGAAATACTGAATCTATAAAGTTTTAGAAACAATTAGATAGCAAATAATTTTTATTTTAAAATATTAATTCAACTTTGAATATTCAACATTCATTCATTTAGTGTCCTGTTTACGTGGAATAAATTGCTTGCTTGCACATCATGTCTACCTGTCTTTTTCACTCTTAAAGAATGTCAGAACAATTTTCTCGATATGAAATTCATATCCCAACTCATTATATACTTAAGAAACAAAAAGATTTAATCTAGAAAAATATCATAACTTTATTTTATTCAAGTTAGAGCCTTAAGAAATTATCACATGGTGAGCTAAATCACAAGCATTTCACATTCAATGTTCAGTTCCCTCACAACATGGGCAGAGGCTGCTATATCCTGAGTGACCAATATGCACAAGTGATGGGGTCATTCAGAGAATGCTGGTAGACCACAGCTTATGAAATAGGGCTGGACATGCCCAGGGGAGCAAAATTTTATTCCAAGTTTGACTCCTGTGATAGTTGACAACTTTTTAAGTTTTTGACCAATGCTAACCTGAATCTCACACTTAGGAAAACTTCCTGAAGACTTTATAAAATATCTGGCAATTTAGAGTCATCTTAAAATATAGTCATTAAGGCTATTGCAGGTGCTCACTTCTTTCATAAACCAACGCATTTCCATAATACAGAAATTATTAGTATATAGCAGTGGAATATTGTGACAAAATCTCAGAAAGGAAACCCAAGAGCAAATGACCACCTTTGTAGAAAGTGTGTAGCTCCATAAGTTTATCAGTTATATTTCCTATATCCAACAATAAGTAACACACAGAAGGAAGGGCTTATTTTGGCTTTCAAGCTGAGGCTACATAACTGCTATGAGGACCAGAATGCGTATTCCCAGCATCCATGTTGACCAGGTGACTAGCATCACTTTTCTTAACCCCAATGTTGAGGCAGGGACAGGTGGATCACAAGGGCTCAAAGCCAGCCGCCCTAGATGAAACAGCTAACACCAGATTCAGTGAGAGACCATTTCTCAACAAAACAAGGTGAGGAGCAACAGAGGAAGATCTCCACTCATGCAGGGACAGACAAAGACAGCGCCATCTACCTGTGCAGATATGGTCATGCATCACACACGACAAAGAAGAAAGGTTTAGAATATAATAATCAAATACAGTGTATGAGCCTGTGTGAGCCCTGACCCAGAGAAACCAGCTTAGAGGAATTTACAGCTGCTGGGGGATGAAGAGCAGGTACTGGGAGGTAACCTATCTTAGGAATTATTGCTAAATCACCTTGTACAATGATGGCATTTTTGAAAAGCAAATGAAAAAATTGTCAGCAATGCATAGGAAGTTATTTCTCAGCTGAGTCAATAGCTCAGATTTTCTTTAAAATACAACTGTTGATCTTCTCTAGGGAAGGTCTTACTCCTGTCTGGCTTGTGTGTGTCTCAGGTGAGATGAACCAGAGTTTTTAGGGTTATAATACATTCCTATCATTATTCAGTTTGCTATTGAAATTCTCTGCAGCTGGTGTCTCAGCCGTTTCAACAGGGCTACTGTGATGTAATTGGCCAGCCCACTCCTGGTCTTTCTGTTATTGTATGTCCCTGAATTAGATGCATAGAATAACAGGAAACATTTGTTTGCACCTGGTTGATTACTCAGAATACTTTGAGATACACTGTATAATACATATTAATTGAGCAATCATTTTTACCAATTACTAGTCTGTTATTTGGATATGTTGGTTTGTGTATCCATTGTTAGCAGTGGTCAATTTGGCTGTTTGTTTGTTTGTTTGTTTGTTTTGGCTGTTAGAAGTAAAGTTGTTAAGAACTTTCTAAAAATATATAAGTGCTCAATTGCTGATCTCCATGTAGGCTGAGATTTGTGATTTTATGATAAAATGTTAGAAAGGCACAGCAGGGTGCACAGGCTGTGAGGAGCCTCTCTGGCGGCTAGAACTGTGATACATGATGGATAAAGAGAAGCCAGGAGAGTGGCAGCTTGCTGTGCATCAGAATCACTTTATGAGAGCTTCTTAGTCCTCGCACAGGCTCTCACAAGCCCCAGGACCTCCCATGCATAAGGGCCAGACTTGACTCAAATATGTCATTTATGAGCCTTAAAGCCCTCACTATCCCACTCTCTCTAGACAGGGCAATGTAGCTGCTCCTGGAACAGCATCTTTCCATATCCCAAAACCCTGAACAGGTTAGTGCAATAGAACCAGGATCTTGTGACAAAAATTGTCTTGCTTTTCTTCTCTCCTCTTTTTTTTTCTTTTATTAAAACTTTAATTTATTTTTATTTCTGAAGGCTAGCAGTCAGTTCTTTTTTATTTTATTTTTTGCAGTTCCCAGGTTCCTATATCTCTCGTTTTCTCTTTTTATCCTTTTATATCTTGAAAAGAACCCAGTTTTTTGAAATCCAGCTAAATGTCATCATGCTCTGACCTTATCACGTGACATTTATCTTGTGTTCAGTACATCAACAAATATCGAAATTCCTTCTTGAGGGACCAAAAATCATGGGTTTAGTTCTCTGGGTGGCTCAATACATCCACCCCTGTACCTATGAATCATATACTTAGCATTCTTTACAGACAACAGGGAATATAAGGCTTTGTATCTTATAAAATGAAACTAACTTTAAAATATTCTTATGTGGCATTATCAATTTTTGAAGTTATGCTCTTTAAAAATGTCAATATCCATAAAAGAAAAATGCATTGTATTTAGCCATCCACAGAAAATATTAGAGTTAGCTAGAACACTGAATGTACTTAATCGACAAGGACACACTCACCTTGACAATGCCCCGTATGTGCATTTTTGCTATCATCTCTGCAGTGTAGAGAAACATCAGTAAAGTGTCCAGGGTGAAGGTCACATACTGAAGAGGAGGATAGTGTTCGAAGGTCATGGGCGTGTTCATGCACACTGAGATGACGCTGATGATGGCACAGATACGCAGCAGAGAGTGCACCCACTGCCACAGACACCAGAGTTACTTTGTGACACTGAACGGAGACCTTTGGCTTGTCTTAAAGCACACTATACCACTTAGACTTAAATAGTTCCTTAGTGCAGCAGTGAGGAAGAACATCTACCAAGTGCACAAAGCACACAGTATTTTTACACTTCTCAAAGCAGCCTATCTTCCACATGAGCATACCAACGGTCAGAAACGTTTGCGAAACAGTCCTGTGATTATACATTAGTAGGAGTTAAACCAAAGGTTGACTGGAGGCCATCAGACCACCCTGTGGGAAATTCTGATTCAACTACATAACACAGCAATTCACTCCCAATGAACCTGGCTGTAAAGATTTTTGGCACTGAAGCACCCAGAATTAACAGCTGTGCTTTATTTACTGTAACTTCCCTAGTATCTTAAAAAAATGGACTACCATACCAGATCATAAATGATTTTTCAAGTGGGTTGTTATAGAACATAGAACATTTCTATATACAGGTTTTTAAAAAATGTATCATATAATGTCCCTACATAAGATATATTTCTGGGCCAGTGAGATTGGGCTTGCCAAACAAGCCTGAGACTTGAGTTCAATCCCTGGAACCCAGTGTTAAAGGAGATAATACACTTGAAAAAAATGTCTTCTGACCTTCATTTCCACTTACATGTGCGCATAACTGTGTGTGTGTGTGTGTGTGTGTGTGTGTGTACATGTGTGCACACACATAAATTTAAAAACATTTAAAAATCATTTCTAAAATTATCATTGTGGAAAAGAAGATAATGAATGAGGCCATCTCTTTTTCAGAGAAAATGTTTTGTACATATTTAGTCTAGAACTTCTTTTAAAATTAGAATTATTTTTTGTGCAATTCTAAACACACATTGATTTGCTGTCTAAAGATTTTAATTAACCCTATAATAAGAAGAAAGAAACAAAAGCAAATGGCTGGATACTTAAAGCACTCACATATAATCTTCTATTTAAAAAGTAATGCCTAGGATAAAAGGGTTAATTGTATCTACATGCTAACCTCACAGAGTTAATATTGCTACTGAATTACTCAGTGCACGATTTTCAAACATAGTTTAAGTGTTAGTATCATCGTGAATATACATACTGTGTCTATATATATGTGTGTGTGTAGTCATGTTAATTCACTAATTTTATATTCCTGTTTCAGGATGATAGTTTGATAAGAGATGGATCTTACAGCTCCATAAGCCAGCAAGTCCTTAAACTGGAAATGAAGAATGACTGACAACACTCTGAAAAGCCTCAGACACTTTAGGGTGATGGGTGTATTCTAATATTTGCCCAAGTATAACAATATTTACATAAAAACATAGTCCCAGAAATTCCGTACCACAGAGGACAAGTATATTTCAATGTTTTTTAAGGGTTGTTGAACTGTAGTTTTCAAACATGAAATTTGAAAAACCCTTCAATAAACATCAGACTGTAAATTCAACCTTATCTGGACTCCTCCAATATAATGAATATAATTACCAGGAGATTTAAAAGATGGGCTATAACATAACAAATTAGCAATGATTTATAATTAATCATTAATAATTTCAGTTAGCTCATAATTGCATCTCCCAAAGTTCTTAGAAAGTTTTGAGTGGGTTAGACATGAAGAGAAAGTTAGTGAGAGATTTATTCTCTAGTCTATTTACTTCTCTCTCTCTCTCTCTCTCTCTCTATATATATATATATATATATAT